ACGAGGAGGATGCGGATGAGGGGACCTCGAGGGGGAGGCAGCGGAGGGAGAGTTTTGGGTTAGTGCTGGTTGTTGTTTTGAGAGGTGGTGGGGGGGGGTTGCGTGAGTGAGAGAGTGCGCGTGTGTGTATGTGTAGGTGTGGTGTGGTGTGTGGTTAGAGGGGGGGACTTGGGGCCCGTGCCTGAAGGGAAGCTGCTGGTTCCCTGTCTGTGTGTTTTTCTCACCGGGGTGGGGGGGTGGGGGCGATTGGTCGGGGGGAACGAGTTGTTTCGCCTAACCCCCACGCCTACCCCCCACCCGGGCCTTACCCGCGGGGGTTGGGGGGAAGGTAAAGGGGATGGCGATGGGATGGAGCGGGGAGGGAGGGAGGGAGGTTGTTTGGAGAGAGGCTACTGCGGCGCGTGTGTATGTATGTGTGTGTGTGTGTGTGTGTGTCTGTGTCCATCCGATCTTCCCCGGGGGGTTAAGTGAAATCTCGATTGATCTGTCGTGATGCTCGGGGGCGGGTTTGATGCATCATCTAATTATAAAACAAAGTACATATTGTGTGATATGATGTGTTATTTTTGTGCAGTGTTACGATGTTGGGTTTGCATTAGGCGTGTCTTTGCCGTACGTACGGTACGGCGCATCGTTTGTGTTATCGTGTTATCTGCGGTAGATTTGGAACAACGGAGATTTAGGAAATATAAGGAGATGGATGAGATCTAGGAAGGATTGGTTTTGAAACAGATTTCTGGAGGCTGGCTTAATGGATGGGTAACGAGAACGGTGGTGGGGGTGGTGAGTGTGTGTGTGTTGGGGGGGGGTTATTTGGGGGTTTTGTGTTTGAGGGGACAGGGATAGCGGTGATAGCCCGGGCTTGTCGCGAGTAGGGGAAAGCGAACACGCCACCGCAAAAACCTTTGGGTATGGGTTCCCTCTCTACCACCCTCCCCTCCTCTTTCCCCCTCTGTGTGCATGTGTATGTATGTGCGTATGTGTGTGATATCATGTGAATTCGAACTTCACAAATGTTTTTGTTGCCCAAAACATTTGTCCTCGTCCCGAAGGCCGTCCGGTTTTATCGCCATTTCGTTTGCCTTCCATCCTCGTGCCGTCGTACCGGTCGTACATGATCCATCTAAACTCTTTCCACCATTGTCGTTGTGAAAAAAACAGTTGGTTTGTTGGTGCTTGGTTGGTGAAGTTGAAGAGGGAAGATGTCGGAATGCGAGAGGCCGGAGAGAACAATAATTTGAATGTGCATACGTAACACCATACGACAATACCGGGGTTTTTACTATTATTGAGTATCGATAAACTCAATCCAAAATCGGAGAGAATCCGAACATGCTTTATGTAGTTGAGATCTTTGTTTTGCTTTGGATGGTTGCCGACTAGTGATAGTGGTAGGACTGCTAGCACAGCAGCGGTAGAGCATGGGAAACGCGTTGGGGTTCTGTGCTCTGGTCGTGAGCGTTACATCATTGTGCATGGACGAGTGTGTGTATGTGTATGTATGTTGTGTTTGCATGTTCATCTGAATGTGGCGCGAAATGCGAACATACAGACACACATACAGACATATAAGGGCAGAATACCGTAATTATTTAGAGTACATCGTACCGTAGTACGAATTAATAGTGTTTCAGGTCCACGATGCTTTCGTTTGTGTTGACTGTCTTTGGCGGTGCTGCCGCCACTGCTGTTGGAACGGCGCTGCGCACGGGGGGGCTTTAGTAGATGTCGAAAACACGCTCCGCCACGGTGTTGGCGGTGCACAGGAAAGTAGCGGGGAAGCCACACATAGCGCAATCGGGGCCAGCCGTACTTTGTGCATGTAGTGAAGATAAGGGACCGAACGCAAATCCTATTGCTAAGGAAGGGGCGTCTGACCCATGGGGTTGTAAGCGCTATCGCCTGACAGGGTCACTCGTTGTTACAATCCTTATCCCTGTCCACTATAGATTGGAACTCCATGAACGCCAGCATATCCGGATGTGGCGGGGAGGGATTCTGGAGCGGACCCTGCGGGATGCGGAGCCATTCGGCAAGAACGCCACAAACGGTATTGACTTGTTTCCAACGGGGGACAAGCCATACGGCGCACATGAGCATGGGCAAGATATACCTGAAGAGTTTCGCCACGTTATGCGGCCGCCTGTGCGCCTGTGCCCACTGCGGCAAGCAGTCCCGCTGCCCCAGCGCCGGTGACGACTGTCTCGCCATCAGTTAAACTGTCAGTGTCTCACTCGGTGTCGCTGTCGCTGTCATTTGTGGGACTGTCGCTGCAACGATTTCGCCGAGCCAGGAGTCGTTACTGTCTATCGAACTAAGGGATTCATTATCATCTTCAGGCATATTTACATTTAGCAGATGGGTAAAGACGCACTAACGCTCCTATGCGCGTAACCTTTGGGTGGCAATCGCTTTGGGCGGAATAAATGACGCTATACTTAGTAGCTTCTACACATGAAGCCGTGCTGTAACTTGTATACATGAAGCCGTGTGGAAATAGCCACGCAGTATAGCCTGTTTGTGAGTTTTTCGTCCGACATTCCAGTTTGGTTCCGGTGCGGATCGGGAGTTGGTGGAGCCGATGATCTCTACCGCCGGGCTTCCCCGTCACTTGAAACATTTCCTTTAGATCCAGTCTCCATGAAAACATTCGGCTTGCGGAGGCCTTCGGGACTTGAGATTTCCTGGGCCAAGCGGGCGAGTTGACTGAGCCCAAGCGAGCTGGCCATTGTTTATCGGACTTATGTGGCCTTACACATATATGTGTAAAGCTTTGTGGCTTGCCATCCTTTGTGCTTCGTCTGTGGCGGTTGCATTAGCATTTCGCCGGCAACTGTGGTCGCGCCCTTGCGCCTTTGCCTGACATATCAGCAACGTTGCCATAGAACAATCTAACTCCAAGAAAGCAGCTAGTTTACGGTAGCACATGGCCGGCGGTACCAACGGTAACTCCATTTGGGGGGGCGGCCTCCCCCGGTCGTCATCCCTATAAATGGCCAGGTCTGAGGTGTCAACGTAGTCGTGAGTTCTTGAGGAGCTTGCCTACCGTTATTCGCAATTGCTGAAGTAAGACGACATGAGCAAGCGGCCTAGCGAGAGCGGGCACGGATCCCCGAAAAGCAAAAAGATCCAACGTGTTGCGTTCTCGGACATTAAGGACTGGGACAAGTTCAAAAAGATTATGGACGTCTCCAACAACTTTCCCGAAACCTATTTAGACATGTTCGGCGAAAACTCTGTCTTCACCCGCCGAGATTCACAAGAACTTGATGTCGCTGTCCAGACGTTTATTGTGGAGTTCCTCAGCAAGCCAGTCGCTTTGTTCAAGGAGATCGTACTCCGTCCAGACGATCGGGAGAAGCCTCGCTACCTTCTCCTCTAATCGATGCTGTCCCAATTGGCACTGTTAGATTTCGGCCAACGCTCTCTGGTCATCTCGGACGGTGCGGACCTGTTCTTTGCCGCCTAAATTGCGCAGTCGCGTGCTTTTAACGTTGTTATTCGTCCTCAGGTCCTGACGATCTAGTTGCCGATGAGTCTGCACGTCCGGCTGACGATGTATATGAAGAGGCCTCAGACGAGGATCAGCAAGAGGGCGGGCCAAGTGCTACCGGAACTATGCAGCATGGTGAGTGGCGCCTGCGCGCATGGCATTTACATACAGGGATGTTGTGCATTGGCTAGGGTGTGTTCAGGAGTATATGCCAAGTACTTACAACCCGCCCGGGCCTGCAAAGCCCGCACAAGACAGTCAAGTTAGCGTTTGAGGAGAGAATCCCTACGCGTGATGAAGCCAGGGCAAATGGTGAGTTGTACACCAGCATCCTTTATAAGTGCAAGAAGTCTATATGCGGAGGTTGCCACCAGAGCGTTTTTAGTTTTCTAGCAGTAAATTGCAAGTTACAAGCTCTTCATTGGGGTGTCTGTAGCAGCTGGGGG